CTGCCTTCCTTCCCTACCAGTGGTGTGACCAGAACCAAGGACCTAGACTAATGCACGTCACTGCTCCGCACAGTACCTGGCACAAGGCACCTGCTTGTCATTACACGCCTGTGGTTCAATAACTGGGAAGCATTTATCTGAGTCGCAGCCCGGCTCTTTAAAGATGTTATAGCTACACAAAGCAATTGCCTTTCACATCTTCTTTCTTGCTCAGGGGAGTTGGCCTACCAACAAACCTATTTCCATTCATGAAACCTCTCTTTCATGTTTCTCCGATGGGTTAGGTATAGTGTTGAATGGTGACGCCCCTGAGATGGGCTTCGGACCAGCTCTCAGGGGCTCACAGCAGAGTGGGTTGGACAGCCACAGCCCCATGGGGCGGAGTTAAGCACAAGCTCCCCACTCCAGGCCCTGCCCCAACCATCCAGGAGCTTAGTGTTCAAGAAGAAACTGGGGATGTTCTTCTCCTTCTAGGCTACAATCCTTTCCAGAGCTTTTCTAGGAGACACTCAGGGCCCATGAGCTGCATTTCACCTCCAGATTCCCAGGCTGCATACTTGACTTCTTCTACTGCACACAGGTTAACATAATTCCATTTCAACAAAGCTGTTCAGATCTCAGATGGGGTTCATTATAATGGAATTTTACCTGAGGCAACCCATCCCCCACTTCTTAACGTCATGGCACCCAAGATGTTGGTGTGCTTGCCAAATAGGCTGGACAGAAGTAACTTCCCACCCCTGGCAGAGGCCGAAAAATTGAGAGCCATTTGGAACAAAGAACTCTGCCCTGAAGGTGTTTTCCAGCATCATCCTGGCCAGCCTGGAACTGTCCCATTCACCCTCCACTGGCACCACCTACTGCCTCTTTTCCAGCCCCCACGGGGGGGCACCCGCGGGAGGGGGGGGAGGCTGAACTGGACGACTGGACACTGCGCAGGAAAGACAGTGAGCAGGTGAAAAAGGGGTATACATTCAAGACTTAGGAAGGCCTGAACTTAAGTTCTGGTTCTGATTTAGGAGCTCGATGGCTCTGGAAATTTAGCCAGAGCCAACAAATTTAAAAATGTATAAGAAATTCAGCCACTTTTTTGAACCTCAGTTGCCTCTTTTTTAAAATGGAGAAAATAATATCATCTATCTCATAAGATCATTGAGAGGCATAAAATGCATGAAAACAGTTAATACAGTACCTGGAATGTAGTAAGTTATAAGAATCATTGGTTGATTATGACCATCAGCTATTATATGACATGTAAGCTTCATGAGGGTCAAAGGTTGATGTCAAGAGAGACACTGGGACAGAGTTGGGGGAGGGGGGATGGCTGAAGAGTTGGTGGGGCTCTGCCACGGAGCCCAGTAGGGGCCTGGTGACCAGGAGGAGGCCCCGGGCAGAGGCGCCCCCCTGCCTCTGGAGCTGACAGGCACAGACTAGATGAGTAATTACAGGACTGCGGGCTGGGGTGGCCCAGGCAACTGCCCAGCCAGCCACATTCTTTTGTTCCGTGAGTGGGCAGATGTCTGTTTATGTGGCAGCCAGGACGCTGGGTATATCTAACACCTCTTAAACCCAGCACCCCGGTTCTCTGTAGGCACTCGGCTCCTTCCACATGGCACCGCCTCCATTCTCTCCCCCCAGTTCTTCAGCCACTCCCTGCTTCTCAAATTGGACAAGTCAGAGGGTCAAAGAACAAGGCCAGACTCTGAACAATCAGTCAGAGGAGACTATTAAACTTCAGTTCACCTCACCAGGAGCCTTGAAATGATCAAGTCCTGGACAGACGTAAATCCCATCACGGTCCCCTGCCTCATGTGCTTTGATTAGCAAGCTCACAAAGGGTTCTGTTACTTCCATGTCCTTTTCTCAAAATTGACATGCCCAGGGAAAGGACACGTCCCTCTGAGTGCACTTGACTCAGTGCACTGAGCACCTGGGCTCAGCACCAACACCAGGCTCCTGGGTGATCGGAACAGAATGCCAAGTGTGGGGGACAATGAAGAACCGTGGGCTCCCTTGCCCACTGCTGGTGGGAGCCCAGTAAGGAAAGGCTTCGACGGCACCCAGAAGCTCTGCACAGGGCTCTCAGTCAGGCTGTGGCGTGACCAGAGCGACCCGGGTGCAACACATCAGACGGGCATACAACTAAGCCAGAAACCAGGTCCTCAAGTCGAGGGTGATACAGTCATCGTAGTTGGAAGGGACTTCAGAAACTCCTCTGGTTCAACTTTGAGAGACGAAGTCTGTGTCAAGTATTGAAAGCACAGGAAACAATGAGGACTTTTATTCACTACCGTAAGGAGTAGGGGTCTTTTGTGTGTTTTGTTTTGTTTTGGTGCAACCACTTCGTGAAACAGCTGCCAAGCATAGAGTACTGCCAAACATGGAATTTCATTTTCATGTGAGCTAACAATTCTATTCCTAGGCATGTGCCGGGAAAAAAGCTCAACATATTCCAAACTGTGTTATCCCATGTAAGAGCCCCGCACTGGGAACACCCCAAATGTCCACCAACAAGAAGTAGGACGCAAAACGTGGCGTAGTCTCACAATGGAACACAACACGGAAGTGAAGACCAGTGAGCTGTGGCTGTGTGTATCACATGGACAAATCTCAGAAACTTATTGAGTAAAAAAAAAAGTGCATCACAGAGAACATAAATGTATGTAAACTCAAAAGACATGTATAACTAAATGTATTGCTTTGTAAAAACATACACAGAAAACTTACAAAGAAAAACAAAGAAATAACTAACCAAAATTCAAAATATTAATTACCGTTGGGTAAAGAGTGAGGAAGGGGATGCAAACAGGCAGGGGAAGGGGGGCTTTTAAGCTACTGTACATGTTCCGTTCTCCACTCAGGTGGTAGGCACAGGATATATTACTCTCTAATCTATACATAAGCAAAGTATACACTCATGTGTGTATGATGTATTTCACAATTGAAGAAATAAACAAAAAGAATTGAAGAATCTGAGAAGTGAAATAACTTTCCCAAGCTCATGGGCTAACAAATGACAGAAAGAGAAGTCAGTGAACTGAATTTGAGTTGAGCCAAGAGAGACATGCCTGGATTCTAAAGGGACTTCTCCAATAGTGAGTTTCTGGCCTAGTACATTTGAAGACAGTCACAAGAGTCTTTCCTTTTCACTCTTAAATTCCTAGTGTCTTGAATAGTGCTTGGCACACAGTAGGCCTTTGATGCATATCTACCGAATGACTGTCTGCACATGCTTTTCCAAGCCTATTTCATGCCAGGCACTTGATTTATGTTGTCTTCAATCCCGACGCCCTCCGACAGGGGAGTTATTATAACCCCCAGTTCATAGATGAGAAAACTGAGATCCAGAGAGATTAAGAAACTTGCCCAAGGCCACAAGCTAGAAAGTGATAAAGCCAGGATTTGAACCCCAAGTGTGTCTAATGCATTCCATTGAGCTGCTGGCATGGCTTCTAGTAGCACTGCCTAAAATTTCAGCAGTACACCAAGGAACCCGGGATCCAGAGCTGAGCTCGGTAGGCTGAGCATTTTCTCCTCTTTCCGCCTCTGTGTCTGGGCTCTGGCACTGGAGTGGTTTGTAAGGCCAGGCCCAGCACCAGCCAGCAGTACAGAGCTGTAGTCAAGGGCTAACTTTGCAGTATGAGTACATTACTGCACTTCTTTAAACTTTGTTTTCCCCACATACATGCTGGAGAGAACACTGGAACTTACTCTACATAGAAGCTGTGATGATGGAAGGAGACAAGCAAAGTCGTGGGCGCAATGCCTGGCAGACACAGTTACTGCTGTTAGATGAGGCTGGAGGCCACTTCTCCCTCCAGGTGGCGAGGTTCAAGAGTATTCTTTAGGGGAAGCCGGGAGGGGAAGAGGCAAACAAGGAGAACATAGCTCCCAGGTGGCAGTGGGGAAACAGCCTTTTTTTTTCTTGGTATACTTAACTCATAGAAGAGTATCGATACAATGGCTTGTTTGAGAGTGAAAGAGTGTTTCTTATTTGCCTTCTAGATCGTTCAAGCCTTATTTGCTCCCATGCAATCACTCTGCACAGAGTACCTCTCCCTCTGGTTCCTGTTAGCTCTTTCTACCTGAAGAAGGTACCCAGGACTGCTGGAGAGGTGCAGAAATCTGAGGGTGCTGGCAGAGGGAGCCTTCTTCTGGAACGCCACTGTCCCCAGAGTAACCTCTGGGCAAACCAAGCTCGCTCCCAGGTCAACTTGTTCAAATGAGTTAGTGAATCTAACCCTGCTGCTCACAAACATTCATTGCAGGCCAGTTCTGTGCGATGCATGGCCCCAAACACCCTGCAGCTGTTCCTAAATGCAGAGCTGGTGGGGTCCCATGGAGGTAAAGACCGACCCCAGCGTGAGTCCCAACACTTTCCCTCACCAGCTGTGCCACCCTGGCACACTTCTTAGTCTCACTGAGACTCAGCTTCCCGTGTGAGAAAGGATCATGGTAGCAGTTCTGTCTCTCGAGGCTGTGCAGGCCATGAACCGAGCACAGCAGCGGGACTCCTGAGCTGAGTGCTCAGGGAGTAGCTGTTCCTGGAGCTCTGGCTCCAGTGCCAGCAGGTGGCACACACCGAATGCGTCTACAGCAAAGCGTCCAGCCTCCCGGGTGCCCCACAGTGCCTTGAGGGTCACACCTTGCCTGACACCTCGGAGCTTCAACCTGCTGTCAGAAGGCCAGTGAGAGGGAGCAGCTTCCCAGGAACCAGCTGCTGGGTCCTGCCCAAACTCCACTTTCCCGCTGGTGGAGATGCCCACGCCCTGCTCAGGGCCAGGACTCTCCCCTGTGCAGAATGGGGACTTTGTGTGGCATCAGGTTCTGGGAACACTGCTTGGTCTATTCCTGGGCACGGGACCTGCAGGGCAGGTTTGCAGAAGCATGACACACACTAGACACACTCAGAAGCCTGCCACTTTTGCCTCTCACCCCTGCCCTTTACCCCCCCAGACGCCCCTCCCCCTGCAGGCCCCGGGGGTCTCTCCCGTTCCTACCTCCCCATAAGTCACTTCAAAAGACGGGACTTCCCAAGAGGTCTTCACCTGCCATTTGTCATCTGTCATGATGAGAATGACCTCCTTCCTGCCAGGGTAGATGGAATCACTGCAGACATCAAGGAGGTCCCATCCCTCCACAATGACATTCCAGTCACTCAAAGACAGTTCCCCTGGGGACTCTCCAGGGAGCCCACCCTGAGCATCTGGACCACAAGAACCAACAACTCAGAAGGGAGGGCAGTTTCTCTTCCACATATCACCAGGGCAGGATGCAGTGACTGCCACCAACGCCTATGGCTTGGGTTGAGCAAGAACAGCCTGTCTCCACCCTGGACCATTTCCCCAACAGGCAGACCAGACCAGGGAGTCAACCTACAGTGGCCAACACACTGACCCCGACTCCTGATGAGCAGCTTCCCTCTGGCTCCGGCTTTCACTCTGCCTCCCATTTCCCCGGAACCCGATCACAAGTGACCTGTGCCCTTCCTCCACATGGGCAAGGTTTGACTACCCTTCCCTTCCTGGTTGTTTACCTGATTTAGAGCTGGACTTTCCTGTGGAATGGTGTGGCTCCCCGAGATCTGGAAAGCAGAAATGGGGGAAGAGGGAAGAGGAAGCATCGGGCCTAGACTTGGCCCCATGATAAATCCGATCCCCCCAGGGGCAGCTGAAGGGGAATTGGCCTCGCTGTCCCTGTCTGAGGTAGGGGTGGGGCAGGAAAGCCAAAGGTGAAGCGGGTCACAGTCAAGGGTGAAACGAAGTCACCAGAATGAGCACTAGGTTAGCGCCCTGGGAGAGGGTACCTGGGAGCAGCACTGCCCTCAGGGGGAAGAGTGGAATTGGCCAGTAACACAGGGGAGCGGCTCGGGGTGCGGGGAGGAAGGTTGAGGTTGCTCTCGGGATTAAGCTACCTCCACCATCCCCTCCTCATTAAACACCACCCTCATTTTCTCCTCCTAATTAAACCCATTCCCACCCACCTCCCCTCTGTGAACTTCACCAGGTCTCAAATGGCATTCACTAGCATAACTAACTAACTGTGCCACTTCTCCCTGGACAGTTTTGGGATATCGTGCTGGCAGAACTGTGAGTAGCACTCCTTCTCACTCAAAAGTTTCCCAGTTTAGAGAATAAATTACACGGTCACTCTCTAGCACACCCAGGCAGACACTGACACAGGAGAGTCGAGGGGCAATTAGAGAGAAATGCAAGTAGCATGAGACCCTGGTGGTCCAGAGCAGCAGCTAGGCTGCTTGCCGCCCAGCTGAATCCCTCAGGACTGAACAGTAGTGGAGGGAGAGCTGCCCATGCCAGACCCAGAGCTACTCAGGGAAGAGGCCTGGTTCGGTGGGTTCTGCTTCCTGTCATCCCTCGGGGGCCAGGCACCATGCTGGACTCTTCCTCAAATCCTGTCATTTCCTTACTTCCCTCTACCTGCACCCAAACAGACTTGGCAGAGTGACAAATAGAAAACAGGAACCCTATAACATATCCTGCCCAGTAACAAACCAGAATGCCATCTCAGCTCAGACCTCCGGGGCTCCTGACTTTGGCTCCCTGGCCACTAGACCTTGACAACAGCAGGTTCCCAGCAGAGGCAGATCTCAGCCAAGATGGTAGCTGCCTCCTAAGGATGTGGGGTGAAGAACTGAGCAAGGGGAACATCCTCTCCTGTCTGGGGCAACCATGTGGTCTGGCCCACTGAGCCGCACGCCTTCCTCACGGAACACATCGGTTTTCTGGAAGTGAAAGGTGAGAGTTCAGGAGGGCTTCTTGGTGCTTCCTCTGGGACTTAGTCCCAAAAGAAGATTAGTTCTGAGGTTGAAGAGGGGAGGGAGACTGAGAAACTCTAAATACCAGTAATCAGTGCACCTCAAACAGCACCAGGCCTTCCACAATATTTATAGAAATAAAGTCTTGGCTTAAGAGCTATGAGTGGTCAGGAAAGCTTTCTAACTCTTCCTTTCACTCCTTCCCTTCACTCCTTCCTTATCCCACTCTCCTCTCATCTTACCCTTTCTCTCTCCCACCCTTCCTAACCCTTTACCATGGAAAGGGTCCAAGTTGCGGCCGATGAGGGGCCAGCCGAACAGAAGCCAGAGGACCAGCTGGAGTACAGACTGTGAATTCCCCAGCCTTTTTTCAGTTTGAGTCAGTCCCACAGTCTGGTTGTGGAATCTTCTCAAATGGGTGCAGAGAGGCCAGTTGAGTGAGGGGCAATGGGTTCTGGGGCCTCAATTTCTGCTCATGGGTCTGAAGCACCCAAAACAAAAGCCAGAGAAAAACTTGCAATCTTACTATCTCCATGTCGAACTGCGCATCATTCTAGAAGGACCCACAATCCCTCCAGCACTTGGACAAGGTAGGGATGAGGAAGGCCCCCCAATGCACAGCACTCTCGGTTCATAGAGGTGAGGCTCCAGGGTCCAGACAGTCCATCTCTGCCTCAGCAAACCACCCGCAGTTCCTACCCTGGCTCAGAACCTTCTTTGCCAACATCATGGTTTCCCTAGTCCCAAACCTTCCTGTTTCTTGTGCACACCCACCTCACTAACAGAGATGGGCAGCTAATAAGATCACTAGGCAGAGACGGAATGAGGGGCTCGTAAAAGTCTGTGGTGCTGGGATGCACCTCCTGATGCTAGAAGGAAAAGATGTGGATTTACCACAAAGCCATAATCCCTTCACAGACAACCCCTTCCGGAGTCATATCACAGCCATCCCATAATCATCGCTGTGTTGGGTGTTTTCTTCAGAAGTGGCCATCACTAGCCACGAGGAAGACAGCCTTCCAGCAGGGAGCTGGAGCAGAGCTGAACTCTGCCCAGGAGAGCTTCAGCAATGCTCCGAAAATGCCTGCCCAAATGCCTGCCTGGGCTCTGGCCCTTCTGGCTGCAACTGAGCCCAGACAGGAGGCTGACTCACTCACCACAGAGAGGAGGAGGAGGAAGAGGAGGAGGAGAAGGAGGAGGAGTAGATGCGGGAAGGGCCCGGGCTCAGAGACCCGGGGCTCCCTCAGCCCAGACGGCCTGGGTCACAGCCTCAGTAGCCCATGGGACAGGCTGGCAGTGTCTACTGCTCCCTGGAGAGCACATGTTCCCTCCTAGATACTTCCCCTGAATCCTCCTCACTCATGGCCCACAGCATGCCAACCTCTCACTTCCCAAACAGAAACTACTCCCTGAGCCCCCTCCTCTATTAGATGCTTGCCCCTGAGTTCTGCTGGACATTTATGGATATCTCCTGAAAAATATGTCCAGTGCCCTAGGGCCAACTATGTCTAAAATCATTGGTTGTTAAAAAAAAAAAAAAAGTCAAGTAAAGAAAAAGACTCTACTTAAAAGATCCAACTCCACGACAGCAGGTGACCATACCTGGGTCCTACAAGATAATAAGGGTACACACTCCACCCTTAGAGACTTAGCTCCATCAGCAGCCAGTCTCTCCTTTTCTTATTCCACCACTCCATGCCGAGGCACCCCAACAGAGGAAGGAAACAAATGCTTTTTGTCGCCCAAGTGCTGAGCACTGTGTTAGCGGAGTATTTCTGCGTTAAGCTGCTTGAGCGCCAAAGAGGTCGCTGCTCCCTCGCCAGCCTGGCACAAACTTCAGCTGTTCCTCAGACCACAGTGTCCCTTCGGTGCCCCAGCCTCATGGCACGACAGCCCAGATCTTAGTCACCAAGTTTGCCCCTGCGACTTAGGCTATAGTGCTTGCACCGGGGCACTCGGGCCTGATATCCCGACGCCCCCACACTGGGCCTAATGCCGACACGAGGACCCCCTTCCCTGCCGCTCCCGGGGCCTCACCTGGTCTGGCGAGCTGGTGGGCACGTTGCTCCGCGCTCCCGGTGCCTGAGGCTCGGCTGCTGCCTTTTGACAAGCAGAGACAGCCCAGCACCTGGCCCCGCCCCCTCTAGACCCCGCCTCCATACCCGCCCCCGCTCCTTGGCCCCGCCCACAGGTCCAGTCTCTGCTTGCCAAGAGCTCCATCGGTGCTGCAACCATTTTGGACTTGGAATCAACCATGGCACTGTGGTTTGAGAGACTCTGCCCGGTGTAGTCCTTCACGACTGACGTCCACAAGGCAAAGCATGCCTCTGTCCTCCGTGCGTGAGAGTTTTCGATGTTTATGTGTGTGCACATCAACGCTTCCGCCTGGATCATCTGTGATGTATCCCCCTACTCCCTGCTGCTGTGGTTCCACCCAGCTTGCAGCGGAGGCCTCTTCAGGTGCGTCACCCCCACCTGAGCTGACCCGGTCAGGACTTCATCTTCGCGGCGCTGGGGGGCGCCTGCGGCCGGCACCAAGGGTTCTCACCGCGCTCCTGGGAAATCCCGGGCGCCGCTGTTACTTCTGCAGAGCTCCAGGGAGCTCAGCCCAACCCCACACGCTCAAGTAAGAGAGCAAACGGAAAAATGTGGCCAAAGTAGAGTTGTATGGTCGTCCCCACTTGCGACCCGACTGACCACGTTCCTGGCCTGTCGCGAACCTCTTCCAAGTGAGCTTAGTCTTGGTTTCCCCGGGCCCTGGTCCCCAACCCCCACATCTCCCCCAAACCCTACCATCTGACAATTGGTGTGAAGGGAAGAGCAGAGGTAGAATACATCCCGAAACCTGGAATTGTAAATGGATGCGGAATACTCGCCCTAGAACATTTGGGCTAAAAATTACTCCGCTTCTTTGGCAATGTGTTAGGTTAGCACCGCTCTAGATGCTAGAGGAGAGATGAAAAAGACATGGTTCCCTCCTTCTTAAAGTTCACTGTCCAATGGGAAATTGTATACGGAAATAGTAACTACAAACTTCTGTTCTACAATTGAGATGCCCACCAGGTCACCACGCAACTGGTGACCTCCATTAGTCAGGGTAGAGATTGCCTTTAATAAAGGAGGAAACTATGGTTCAGGTGGACAAATTGAGCAGGTGGGAAATTAAGGCATGGAGAGGTTAAGCGATTTGCCCAGCCTCACGCAGATGAAGGACAGTACTAGAGCCCCGCCAGTCTGCTGGTGCAGTGGCTCCTGAACCATTTCAAGGACAGCTCTGCTGGACTGTGTGATAACCAGCCCCTCTCAATAACTGGATCAAGGAAAATGGACTGAGTCTAAACAGAAGGAAGAACCTTCAAAAGGTGAGGATTGTTAAGCACTGAAACGATCCATTAAGGGAGTACCATGGAAGCTTTTTCTCTGGAAAGCTTTAACAAAATAGGGAACACACAGTTTGATTGAACTAGGGAGTGGACCAGAATCTGTTCTGAGAAACACATGAAGGAATGTGCCCCTTTGGAGATCCTGCTAGTCTGATGGATGGCTTGTCACCTGCAATGAAAGTAAAAGAATTTCCTTGCCCAAAGCATTACAGGAAAGCCAGCAGTAATTCTCACAGGAAGTAGAATATAAGAAGAAATCTGTCAATCAGTGCTTTGGGGCATTCTTAGGAAGTACCACAAGCCTCTGGAAAGAGGTAATGCCTTGGAAGTCACTTCTGTGGAGCTTTACTGGCCAAGCAGGTAGACCTGGCCTCTTGAAAATAAACCTTATCCAAAAGTGGTAGAAGATGAGTACTCAGTGTTCCGTAGTATTGACTTTTAGTCTCTCTTCACAGCTCTGCAACTGATGAGTCAGGCAGAGTGGGAAATTCTCTCTCCATTGTACAGCTGGTATGCAGAGTTGTCAGAGTGGTTGAAGTTCTTCCAGCTGGGGAGCTGCTTGGACCCAGGTCTCCTCTCTGCACTCTACACTGTTCCTTGCTGCTTCTCAAAAAAATTATGGCCATGAGCTTTTTACCTGTTGAACCATGATCTAAATAACCCAGCCTTGGAGAACTCAGAAGCTCTGGGTTTGGCAGATTTGCAGGATTATAGATATCATCACGCCCCCCCACACACACACTGTGTTATTGGTCCCATCACTGTGTCCCTAACCAAGTTCTTTGTACCTTCCCCTAACAGCCTGAACTTCACGTTCTTATCTGTCTCTCCAGAGCCTCTCCTTTCAGATCCCAGCAGTCACATTAGGCCTTTCCTAACATGTTCAGGCCAGAATGACCTATCAGTTCTCTGGTCTTTGTAGCATGTATTCTCGGTATTGCATGTTCTATCACCTCATAATGAGTCATCTTGTATTTGTATTGAACAAAGATGGATCTTTTTACTTTAGCTTTATTCTTAGAAAGAAGGTTATTTTGTGGAACTGTAAAAATAAAATATGTGAGATTCACTTCTCCCAGTTTTGTTGTAATCACAAATTGTCTCCTGATCTTGCTTCTTCCTAGCCAGGGACTGGGAAGGGAGGTTGCTATCCATACCCTGTTCTCTGCAAGATCTTGATGGCAGACAGCATTCCCGTATGAGAATTAATAGCTTTAAACTCCTCTAGCCTGACAGCCATGGTACATGTACCAGAACCTCTGATGAACCACTAATTTTTTCTTTCCTTTCCCAAAAGGTAACATTTCTTGTATTCTCACTTGTCCCTGGGAGGGGAAGTCCTTATAGAATGTTCAAATTGTGTTTTTTATCAGTTTTTAATCTCTGAAAAATCACTTTAGGGACCATCCACTGGGCACTTGCTAAGCGCAGGACACTATGTTTTATGTAGACTCAGTGGTCTGTGTAAAAACAAAGTGCCCTTCCAGGTGTGACCTGCCCGGGAGAAACAATTTCAGAGATGCCAGGCTGAGGCCACCTCAGTGAATTTCATTTCACAAAATCTGGGAAAAGGCTAAGCCTGGCCTTTCAGCCTCTGTGCCAGGCTCCAGGTGCCTGTGGGTGGTCGGGCAGGCTGCTCTCCTCAGCTGGGGGGCTCCTTTCTACCGCAGGCTGGTCACTGTCCTCGAAGCACCGCGTCTTGCCGTGGCTGCAGTAGATCACCTGGTCCCTGAGAGGTTCCCAGAGACCCTGTCCCCAGGGACAGAGGTTTCTAAGCTGTCCAGAGGCTGCTCTCCAGGTAAAATGTGCCCTTTGAGCTCTCCCTGGAGCACTCCCATCAAACTGTTTGCCTTTCCTTTTTTTAGGGCCCTTTTTTCCCCTTAGAAATTTTATGGTTATGGGCACGGTGGGAATGAATGGGAGCCTCTCACTCAGCCAATTCCCAGAGAACATTCTGAGAGACACAGAGTCATGGATTCATAGAGGCAGAAACCACCAGGCCTCCCAGACAGTTCCCTTGTTTTAGAGATTTAAAAAAATAATAATAATTAAGGCCAGTCCAGAAAGGTTAATTCATTTATCTTTTCGATGCCTTGGGAGGGCTGTTCTCTGCATTTATGTTCCAGGTGGTGAAAGTGAAGGAAGGAAGCTGGAAACAGTGAAATCAACCCAAACAACAGTGTCTTTCCAAGACAGTGTTTTTCAGAATTTTAACTGCAACCCATACTAAGAAATATGGTTTTTTCATGACCTAGTGTACCCATGCCTATATATAAGTTTTATTAAACAAGAGACACTCTGCACTGCTTTTTATCCTTTTCTATTCCCTTCCTTTTGTCTTTCTGTCTTTCTTTTAGGGATCTGCCAGTTTGATTACACAGTCCATAATGGATTGTGACCCAAAGTTTGAAAAAGCCCCTCATCACAGGATGCCCTCATTTAACACCTGCAATGCCAGATTCCCAGAAAGGCCTTTGAGAGACCAGCCCGGCTTACACAGAGCACCCTCAGAACCCCATGGTGGCTCCACGGTGGCTCCGGGGCTTCAGAGGACTCTCCCTTCAGGGCCACGTGGTCAGGGTTAAGTTGCTGAAGCAGGATGAACCTCCTCAGTGTTTGCCTTTGTGGTCTAAACTTTGCTGTTGTCCTACCATGCTCCTGCATGTTCCAGGTTTGGGGGGTTCTTTCAACCTCAGGAAGTTTTATGGCATCTGAGAAATCCTAACTCCACCAGAACAGGACAGCTTGGGGAGTTGTGTGCAAAGCCGTGAGAAGTGTCCACACTCTTAGCCTGCCCTAGAGAGCACTGGGCACCGTTGATTATTCGATCCAAATCTGTCTGGCTCCAGGGCTCCATTCCCAGTAGCCCAGCTCATGTCTCCATCCTCAGGGTTGTTGGCACTTGTCTTTACCACCTGCTCCCACCGCCTCGAGCCCTAGGCTGCCAGTCTGCCGGCCCTCACGCAGTGTCTGCTGGCACTGTAGAACAGAGCCTTGGGGCCGGATGAAGGAAGGCGTTTACTCCCACCTGCACTTCCAGGCAGAGGCAACTCCAGAGCTCTCCCAAGCTCCCAGGTATTTGCTTGGCTCCCATACAAACCCCAGCAGACAATAATGATTCTTCGAGCCCCAACCCTAACCACAGAGACCAGAGGAATAAACAAGAGGCTCAGGGTCCTTTCCCATCTACGACTCCTGTGGCTGTAAGTTTTACAACTGCTACAACAACTCTGGTATGAGATAAAGTGACCCCTACCCCCTCACCCTTGGAGAAGTCTGATTTTGTTCCTCTAGGGAAGAGTGTCTTGTGGGAGAGCCCAGCGAGGGAGGTAAGATAAGAGGCTCTGTGGAATGGGGTAGGTGTCCTGGGAGCAGGAGAAAGCACCACATTGCTGCTGGAAGGGTCAGAGGGGAAGGCTGACTGTTTCCAAAGGAAGCCTCCCTCCCAGAGGAAGGCCGCCAGGGAAGGAGGGCGATGAGGCAAGGATCTCTTTTTCTTCATACCAATGAGCAAGCGCCCTGCAAGCCTCACCGTGGGCATGCCTGCTTCACTCTGCAGAACAGAAAAGGACATTCTCTAAGAAGCCCAGGAATGCATTAAACAACTCTCCCCTGGGGCCCCAACTCCGGAAAGGTGTGTGTGCTGACAGCTCTTCTCCTGTGCCCTTGGTCTCTGACCTGGAACAGAGATACTGCCCGATACCAATACCTCTCTC